TGTTTCTTGCTTATTGTTTTTATTTGCTAATTGCTTCCTGTCTCTTTTTAATTACAAATTTAGAGTCTTTTTATAAGGATGAAATCCCACCTTAATTTGGAAAAACCTAAATCCCACCTGGATTATTTTTAAGATTTTATTTTTCCAAAATCTTTCCCTTTTCTATGGATTAGAGACCAAGTATTTTCATAAAAAAATTAGTAATCTTCAACAAATCCAAGAACTAGATCTTAGGCTTTCCTTTTTACCAAAAACAAAAAAAACTATTTTTTTTGTTTTTCTATTTTTTTGGGCACATGTTTTAAAACCATAAATAATAAAAAAAAAACTAAAACTAAAACTAAAATAAAAACCAAAAAATAAAATAAAAAATAATAAAAGTGAAAATAAATTGAGCTAAAAAATAATTTTGGGCTTTTTTTTGAATCTTTGGACCTAAAATTCAATTTAACAATTAAAATTTAATAACAATTTTGCATCCCATCTTTAAGAATTCAAAATTCATTTTGATACCAAAATTTTTTTTGAATAAAATAAAGTGTCTAAATTGTTTTAAATACATTTTTGTCTTAGGTTTTGGGTACATTGCAAAAGATAAAAATAGGGGATGATTCAAGCTTGTGCTTTTGGAGATCTTGCAAGAAAAGGATAGTGGGTCTTGTGCCATGACACAAAGATGGAACCAACATTGTGGCCAAGGCAACCCTCTTAATGCAGATATTAGTAAGCCTACTGTTATCACTCCCCTGCCTCACAGGTTTGTCATCAAAGATTTGGTAGTGGGCCTTACCCAATTTTACTAACAAGATAGGTTGGATTATCATTTGAATTGGAACTATCTCATTTAATTCATAAAGTTACATTTAAGAGTTGTCATCTAATAATTTTGAAATTTATATTTCAATATTTGTAATATCTTCCTCTAGACTAATGTTTTGACTTTTTATATAAAAAATTACTAATTTTCTTTTTTATCTTTTCATTTTATAAAATCGATAACTATGTTGCACAATAGAAGAATGTTATTCTATTTGTTTCAATCTCAAATTATGAAAAGTAAGATGGCATATGTCATGAGGTTAAGTTAAAATTTCCATTCAAAAAAATAATTTGGTTAAAGTTAGAATTGTGCATATCTTTTTCCTTACTTGATCTAATACTATCCAAAAACTCATAGATCTTAAGGAAAAATACAAAGCACATGGTTATTGGCCTCACTTGTGAACTTGTGCTGCTCATGATTGTTTGCATCCTTGGTTACTATGTGAGGATTAATAATAACAAGAAGTTATATTTTTTTTCCTTCTTGTTCCTCTTCTTCTCTTTTAGAGGGAGAGGCATGGGAAAGGGTAATTTGTTTTGAAGGCTGATGATAGGTGATGTTAGTTTGAAGGCTCTTAACGTAGACATACACATGGAACTGTACCTTAATTTATGTGGAGACCAGCATTCAACCTATGAAGTATTGTTCGTTTTGACCCAAAGGTCTTACAATTTTATCCTACAAAAGGTGTCTCACAAGTTTAAGTTTAAGTCTTAACTTATATATCATTTTTTATCCATACATTTTTCCAATGTGAGATTGGGGGCATAACAATCTCTTCACCTTTAAAGCTTGGTGTCCCTATCAAATCGAGTCCAATTACAAGACCAAGATCACACTAGATGTTACGATTCTAGATGTGGCTCTCCATTGTGCAGCACTTAGTGACTTTTATGACCCCGTCATGTAACACTTAGTGACTCCCATAAGGTAGTACTTAGTTTTCATCAACTAGTGACCACTCTGATACCATTTGTGGATACTCATACCTAACCTACGAGGTATTATTTACCTTAACTCAAAGGTCTCATGGTTTTATTCCATAAAAGTCACCTCTCAAGTTTGGGTTTAGATCTTTACATATATATCATATCATATCTACACATTTTTTATGTCATGCCCTTAGATCAAGATGTAATACAACCATATTATCTTGAAGTAAAACCATAAAGTAATATGAAGCCTTCTTTCTTAATTATTCTAAAATTTTTTAATAAACTTAAATAGTCTACCAAGTAAAATCAATATCTTTAATCCAATTAATGATACATTCTATATATCCAAATACAAACCATATAAAAATAAAAAACTATTTCATAAGATTTCATTAGCCAACATTGTCTCCGATGACTAAGTAATCTTACACATTTGATCTTCTAACTTTTTATAAAACTAAGCAAACTTATCACTTACTCATTTGTAAAGAAAAAGTAAAAGAAAAATGAGCAAACCATAGCTTAGCAAGTATAGACTCACACACCTTATCAGATCAAGCATTATTTTCATACATATTATATAGATCATTCAAAACATTTGTTAAATCATATTGTCCAAATATTTCCAAAATCATCATTGTGTCAAGCATTTCATAGATCATAAATCAATATTAAAATATGTCGATTCATAAATTATTACAAAATATACTGCTATTCAAATATTGTAATCAAATCAAATCATAGATCAATAATTAAAATCATCATAAATCATTTTTATCATAAATTATTAGTTTATCATTATTTTATTGTTAGCTACGATCATTACTATAATCGATGATGTTGGCCGTATCAATAATTTCATTCTCATGATCATTGCTAACTATTATAACCCTTTAGTCGGGACCTTATGCTAACTACTATAACCTGTTAACAGGGCCGTATGATCATTTCTATGCTACTAATATTACTGGTTAGCTAGGATTATAGAACTAGTTCTGGTGTTGATGATTTCACTTTTCAGGGATGTAAAAATATAGCTATCATAAAATCATTTCTTAAACATAAATCATTTTTTCATTTCATTCATAAGCATGATCCATCATTTACATAGCAAAAACATAAAATAATCATATGCTTGGTTCTATTTTCATATATCAAAAATAATGAAATAAAACATTTTCTCATTTAGAAACATACATATATACATATGTTTAAAAATAAGCAAAGTGTGTGAGATTGTACTTACTGCTTTTCGATTCCATCACTTAGTTATTCCTTCAAAATACTTAATGACCTATTCAAGATAATTTCAACATAATAGAAATTAATCAACACATTTCGAGACCAATGATATCAAAAACAATGAAGTTAAACAAGAATTAACTCAAGTAACTAATTTTGTAGCCTACTTTACTGTCACTAAAATGACCATAACTCTAGATATATAACTCAAAATTAAAATCTTTTTAATGCGTTAAAAACTAGACTCGATAAGCTTTCTACCCGTATATCGCCCATCTCATGATTCCTTGTGGATTGATTATAATAATTTTTGTAATCCATGTCATATGTTATTGTCAGATAGCATATATACTTTCTAATAAAAATTACACATATATTCATAGGAAACTCCAAATTCAATTTTTCTTATTCTATTGGAAAGTAGACTTAATAAGCTTTCCAAACATATATGGCTTAATATATAATTTCTTGTATAAAAATTAAGACAATTTTTGTAATTCAACCTTAATGCTACTACTTTACAGCCTGCATATCCTTAAGTAAAAATTAGACACTCTTCATAAAAAACTCGAATTCAACTTCTGTTTGTTTCATTAAAAAGTAGATTCAACAAGCTTTCCAACAGTATATAATACTTATAGCAATAATCTATCCATTAATAAAAAAATCCATTTTAATTCACTGTTGCAGATTATAGCATCTTATCCAAACATAATTTCTCCTTCAATCTTTAAAACCTCAAATCCCCACTTTCAGCCTTTAAACTTCATTCAATAATTATCAATAAATCTTAAGAACATGAAATAAACAAAGCTCAATAATTATCCAAATAGATCATGAAGATTAATGAAAGATTTATAATTTTCTTGGTTTTTCTCTCAAAACTTTAACTCCATATAATAACAACTAATATGATATTTTTCTTAAATGAAAAGAGAGTAGATACTTATCATTAGGAAATTAACTCAATTGTAGTCTTCAATTTTGGATCTGTACTTGATTTTTCATACTTTTTAACCCCAAGAAAGATAAGGAAGAAAAACTCGTATTTTATTTTCTATTTCACAATAACTAGGTTTTTTTTTAATAAAACACTCAACAACTTTTTTTTTAATAATTAACCTCCTAATTAACTTAATGGACTTTAGTAATAGTCTAACCAAATTATTATTTAGGCTGGGATATTATAATTTGTTTCAAGTTAAACTCTCTTAATTGAAGATGAAGTAGCTAACTGTTAGTGAACATTTTTTTTTACTGATGAGGATGACATTTCTTCATGAATCAATTAAAGCCTTAGATATTCTTTTATTAAAAAAATATATAATTGTAAGTTATTTTCGAAAAGAAAATACACATTCAATTTGAACAGAAAGAAAACGAATACATTAGAAAACATATAAATCTTTAATGTTTGTAAACTATGTTGGAACTATATTGGTTTAATTCAAGAATTAGCGTGAAATCCAATCCAAGTATGTACATCACATGAATAAATTCTTTTTTTTAAAGTTTTTTTCATACGAAGAGTTAGATTTTCATATTTATATTTATCAGTGATGTGTCGGACACAAGTATTTAAAAAAAATGAAAAATAAAAACATCTTTTTTATAGGAGGGCACGGCCCTATTATAGCTAGGGGGAAAGAGAATAGTTTGGTTTGAATCCATGCACTCATGTCGTCCTTAGACTTTTTCGCCATAAGCTAAGAAGTGGAAAACATAAAAAGGACATACTTTGCAAATGGACATTTCATGCTTCCATGATTAAATTTGAAATTGACATCTTTAAACTTGTTGGCTTATTTCTCAGGATAAATATTAAAATACAGTGGATAAAAGATGAAAGGGGCCTGTATTTCATGTTATAGCAATTAATAAACTACTAATAGATTTCACTCATTAAAAGAAAAGGCTGCCTGTGCTCAATTGTGAATGTGAGATGCTAAAGACGTGCGCTCCTCTTTTTACTTTCTCTTAGTTTATTCATGAATAAGGCTGTCCTGGCTTGTAAGTTGTACACCAAAATCTTCAAAAGGCCCAATTGTTGGCTGCATGACAAGAAACTCCCCCAATTTTTTTTTCTTTCTAAAATTCTAGAGATTGTCATTTGAACTTGGACCGAGTCTCTAGCTTTGCCTATTTACATCACAAGAAAAGCAAAAGGAAAAAAGGAGGAATTTTTTTTTCAACAATCAAAGCCAACTTGCATTTTTAATAAAACAACACAACTGTAAATCATTATCATCTTTTCCTGCAAATTTCTTCTTTTTTTTTTTCCCCACTCTTAATCATGCCATCTCCTACCATTTTTTTAGCCAGAAGAGAGAGAAAACGAAGAGAATTTCTCTCTTGGCAGACACTCCAGGAAATGACCATGCATATCATCTCCTGGGACTAGGCCTGTTTTCAACCCTCCTACCATGTCTTTCTCATTCTAGCCTCTCTTTTCTTCCCTTTTCTTTACCATTAAAAAGTAAATGATATCTCATTTCTGGCCTTGTATTCTTTTACATTTCAATTGAAAAGCACCCATGTTCTCTCTGCTTGTTTGCTTGAAAATACACCATTCCTCTCTATAACAAAAAAAACTGCATTCTAAACAGAGAGCTGAGCAGGAAAATATGAGGGATAATTCACCGGAAAAGAAATCGGGTTGTGGGATATTGAATGCAGTTTTTGGGAAGGGTAGGTTTTGGCTTAGAAGGTCTACTTCTACTGGTTCATTGCCAATCCATAACAACAACAATGTTAAAACAGCAAGCTCAAATACAAAGAGGAGGCGGAGTGGTTCCGATGAGTCTTCCTTTTTTAACTCTTCGGTGAATGGACCAGAAGCGCCAACAAAACCATCCACGAAACCGCCTCCAAATCATCCCAAGTCCCCTGCGTTACATCAACAATACCAGGTTCGGAAACATCCTGATGAAGTAACCAGAATAACACCTAACCAAGGATATGTCAACCGTGGTAGAAGGGTGCCCAAAGAAGCTCTTAGTATCTCCGGTGAGCTTGAAAACATGATCGTGGATCATAAAAAAACAAAAGGAAACAGCAACCTGGTTCGAGCCTCGTCGAGTAATATTATGCTTTATGGCAATTTAGGCAACTTGAGGCAACCCGGAGGAGGAAACACTAATTCATATAACGTTATTGATCAACTCCCTGCGACTGCAAGAGAGGACATCTCAACACCTAATGGGAAATATCGTAACAGTGTAATGGGAAATGTGGTGAAGAAACCGTTTGAGGAAAAGCGTGCGGAAGAACAGCCAGCTTCTCTATGCAGAGCTCTTTCTACAAGAATGGACCCCGAAACACTGAAAATCATGGGCAATGAAGATTATAAAAATGGGAATTTTGCAGAAGCATTGGCTTTGTATGAAGCAGCCATCGCCATTGATCCAAATAAGGCTTCATATCGAAGCAATAAAAGTGCAGCCTTAGCAGCATTAGGCAGGATTCTTGAGGCAGTTTTTGAGTGCAGAGAAGCCATTCGAATTGAACCTCATTATCACAGAGCTCACCATCGGTTAGCAAACTTATATCTCAGGTAAAAAAAAGTTGCTCATATTTAAACAATCATGAATATTCGAGTTAGTATTTGTAACTGATAAAATTGTACAGACTAGGAGAAGTGGAAAAGGCAATATATCACTACAAGCATGCAGGCCTTGAGGCTGACCGTGATGACATTGCTAAAGCTAAAACTCTTCAGGCACATTTAAACAAATTTACTGAAGCTAAAAGGCTACGAGATTGGAACACCCTGCTAAAAGAAACAGATTCAACTATTAATGCTGGTGCAGATTCAGCTCCACAGGTATGCATAAATAATCAAACCAATCCAAAAAAACCTCAAATCCCATCAAAATTTAGTATTATGATTTGTCCGTTTACAATATATAACTTGTTTTCTTTTTGTCAAGATATATGCATTGAAAGCCGAGGCCTTGTTGAAGCTCCACAGACACCAAGAGGCCGATGAAGCATTATTGAAAGGTCCAAATTTCAATGTTGATGACTGCACTAAATACTTTGGCCCAATTGGTAACGCGAATTTGCTAGTTGTTCGAGCTCAGGTGGACATGGCTGCCGGCAGGTTAGTGTTCTACTATATTTTTTATTTTACTACTATCAGTACCTATAGAATTAAGTGATGCAGGAAAGTACTGCTTCAGGCAAATTTAGGCAAAGAGCATAGGGGGTCTATGCATAAAGGATAGATAATAGGTAGAGTGATGCAGGGAGTTTATGATCCTAAGCTGAATTAATGTTGTAAAACAACTCAAAAGTAGATTCTTGCTGGAGCAAGAGTAACCAAACCAAGGGTATAGATTAGAGCTGGCAAAATCTGACCTTTACCTACCAAATGGGGCTAAATTTGCACGAAATGATTGCGTTTTGGCCTTTTGGGTTAATTGTTTTGTTTGTTATGACTGGACACCTACTTCCCCCACCTTTTTTTATTTCTTTATTCCTTTTTCATTTACTGTTTGACATTGAATTGGTAATTTCTAGGTAAGTTCAACTTTGACCTTGTCTTTGCTTTATGCGTACGGGTATTTGGTGTTACTAACAGCTTGATAAAGAAATCTAAAAGGTAAATATTAAGAAATTCAGAGCAGTTCCTGCTCCAGTCAGAGCAATATATATGACAGGCGAAAAATGAAGAGAAAATTGCTATTTAAATTGAAATCCAACACTTAATCTATAAAACTTAAGGTCATTGGCTCAGTTTCCTTAAGCCGAAACCAAAAACTGTGTCATAAGCGCTAATATGCAGGCCAGCTCATGTGCCAGGTATCTCTAATGATAATGAACAGCATAAAACAGGTTGTTTAAGTTGAACCTTGATTTACAGGTGGGGTTCGCTTCTGCACCATTGGAGAATTACCAAATTTTTGACTTGATCCAAACAGAAACTGGTGCCAGCTACAGAAATGCCCTGAAGATTTTTGTCTTATAAAATTTTTTACTTGAGTTTGGTCCATTGTTTTAAATAGAATGGTAAATTTAAACTTTATGAAAAAGACAATTATCGCCAATAGGATAATTTTCAATTTAAAAGCCAAGGGAATAAGGTAGAGAACATGCTATCTATTTGCAAATTTGGTTGATCTTTTGGGACCTGCCACTAATTATAACAATACACAAAATGATCTTTCATACAATACTGTCAGCCAACTCAACAAATAATGTTTTCTTGATGATTGTCTAAAGATTTGATGATGCCTTGGCGGCGATTCAGCGAGCTGTTAGGCTTGACTCGAACAACAAAGAAGCAAACTGTGTAATGAGGAAAGCTAGAGCAGTGGCAGCAGCTCGATCAAATGGCAATGAGTATTTCAAGGCATCAAAATTCTCCGAGGCGTGTGTTGCTTATGGCGAGGGGCTTGATCATGATCCACACAACTCCGTCTTGTTGTGCAACCGAGCAGCTTGTCGCTCCAAGCTTGGACACTACGAAAAGGCAATAGAGGACAGCACCCATGCCCTTAATGTGCGCCCTGGCTACAGCAAAGCTAGACTAAGAAGAGCCGATTGCAATTTCAAGGTGAGACTAATAAACTTGAAACTAATTTTTACATGATTAATAGATACAATAGCTAAAACTGAGCTCAACAGTTCATTCAGTTACTTTTTAAGAATTGACATCCAATAAATTTGAGATTTAAATTTCAATACCTATAATCTTTTTTAAGGCAGTCCTCCTTTAAAGCTACAATAGGTAATACTGGTCACAATTGACAGTTAATGTGGTGCACACATGTCACAGTATTATACATTTTTTGTGTATAGATGTAGATGTGTGTGCTAAACAAGTCAAATAATTGTGTGTGCCTATAGAATGTGTTCAATAATCTAATAATGATGTATTGGATATATGTAATAGTTGGGAAAATGGGAAGCTTCACTGCAAGACTATGAGATCTTGCAAAGAGAAACACCGGACAACGAGGAGGTGAAACGGGGCTTGTCTGAGGCTCAAATGCAACTCAAGAAACTACATGGCGAAGTTATATAAGACGAGAAGAGTACGATGGAGCTTGGTGAACACGAAAGATGAGCCCGACATGGAGAAAAGAGAGGAAGCTCAAAGGCAGCGACAAAAGACACCAGCCAAGAAATTATGGACAGCAGGTTTGGTTGTTGTGTTGCCTGTCGGGCAAAGTTATTAATTAATATCGTACCAATAGTGTTTCGATTTTATTTAAAAATATGGTATATGCCAGAATTAGTGATTTCGGTATATTATTGTAGATTTTTCAGTTTAGTATAAATATATATGAATTTATATGTTATAATATTATTAATAATTTACAAAATAAATATGTAATATTTTTAAAAATTAAAGAAATAAATTTAAAAGTATAGAAATAATATCATAAAATTTTCATAATATTTTTAAACATTTAATCTAATTATATAATATTTAAATAAATACTTTTTATGTAAATATTAAGATAAAAACAAATAAATGAAAGGATTAACCTTGACTTCAGGATTATTAAACTTTAGAAAGAGAGCACAATTACTTTCTTAAAAAAGATTAAAATACTTATGAATTTTGATTTTAAAAAATAAAGTACAAAAAAACAAATTAAAATAAGAAATAGAAAACCTCAACTTTTAATGGTTTTTTTAATTAATTTTATTTATATTAGGTTAAAAATAGTTACACAATAAAAGACAAATTGAAAATTTCAAAACATATTTTATATTTACATATAGATCGAAATAAGTTAATTTATCAAAATTTATAAAAAACAAACAAAATCAATGAAAACAATAAATAATTTTTAATATCAAATCTAATAAAAAATCTTTAAATGTATTATATTTAAATATAATTGAAACCATCAACCGAAAGAACCGATACTAAAATGAAATTAATAACTATGTTGTTTGAGCAAATGTGAAATTAGGTTCGATAAAAAAGGGTTGCTTTGCTATTGTGAAGAATTTGGAAGGGAAATTTTGATACCGTTAAAATGCGACATTAAATATTTGGTAACAATTTGATTATATGTGTGCATATTTTCTTAAAGGTTTTATTTTATAATTATTTTTATAAAATAAATTTTTTAATTCCACCAGCAAAAGAGATTATCTCATATATTTTTTAATTATTTTTTATTTTTATTATATACATATATATATGGTCTTATTCATCATGACAATGGAGTTTTTAAACATCACTGAATGTGACTATAGTAATTTCTTTTTTACATTTATTTATTTTTAATATACAGACAATGAAAATTTTTAATTTCCAGATTAAGAGACTAGCAATGTGCATTTGAAGCTTCATTATTTTCAGCTTCCATAGTCAATCACTCAATCTATAATATATATTCCAGGATAGATTTGGGTTTCCATATTGTTTTAATTTGGACTTTTGGGCTAAATTTACAGACTTATAGGCCGGGCCTTAATCTCCATATGGCCCATTGTTTCTACTAGCTTGAATTGGCTTTACGTTGGGAAAAGACCTGAACTTGAATGACATTATGTCTTTCTGTAAATGTCACACTTTAGTATATTTCAGAAAATTAAAAATAGGTACAACTATAATTTTATAAATATTCACTACTATAAAGGTCTTATTAACTTAAATCAGGGAAACTTTCTTAATACTTTATTAAATTTATTAAATTTAGAGTTTTTTTAAATATTGTTCTTTAAAAGCTTTATTTAGATAATTCTATTATAATACTAAATTCTTAAAAGCTCTGTTCATAAAAGACAACCAATCTCGTGTAAATAACATTTCAAATGCCCTTGTACATGATCAGAATAGGAAATTAAATCCAAGGGTGAAAGCAAGAAAATTAATTTGTCAATACATTCACGGTACATGCTAACAAATATAATAACAGTTAATTTCAAAAAGTTCATATATTATTATAGTGCATTGAATAGGAAATTTTCACATGCATGACACATTGTATGAATAGTACGACAAACATTTATAAACTTATAAGCATTTAGGTTCAAATCCCATTTTAGATTACCTAAACATAAGTATTTAAGTTCAAATCCCAATAGTTTATGTTTGCTATAATTTCGTCTTGAATTTCAATACTTTGACTCATATATTCGACTCTATATAATTTAATATATTGTTAATGTATAAATCTTATGCACCATCAATATACCATAAGTTGTAATTTTATTAATTCATAAATTTAAAAAACTTAAAAGTCTTTAAAAGTAATTAAATACTAAAAATTATATAATTGAACATAAATTTATTAAATTCTCTTTTTCAATCTTACCCTTTTAAAAAACTTTAATTTTTTAAATTTATAAATTAATGAAATAACAGTGCATTGAAATAAACTTCTTATAAATTTATATGATTTTGTTTGTTTCAGAAAATTTTTTTTATAGAAGATTGTTTTGTTGAAAATTCAAATCTCTAAAGTAATGTATCGACCATGATGCATCCATATCATGAATAAAAAAAGACCCAGTCCAAGTCACATATCCAAAAATAGAGTCCTATTTTTTTTAATACCTAAAAGAGGAAAGACTAGTTGTTTTCTTCATTAATTAACTCCCTTGCTCTAAAAAATGCGTTGTCTTTTCTAAATCGCAACCTCGTTTCTCTCTAACCACAAAACCAACCCATCATCCTCAATGAAGCCACCTCTTTCCATGCAAACCCTAAATTCCACCTTAACCTTCAACTTTCTCACCTTTGGCACTCCCTACATTTTCTTTCGTACCCCATCTCCCCCATGGAGGAGCGGGTCGCGCCTTCTGCCAAGGACCCTCACTTGCAGTCGTCGAGACCCGAACCCACTCCCAGCAACAACAACGACGGCCTTTCCCTGCAGCTAGCTCCCCCTCCAGGCAAACCATTAGCAACCTACATCGTCCAAATCCCTAAAGATCAAATATATCGCATTCCACCTCCCGAAAACGCCCGTGTTGTAGAAAGTTACCGTCAGGCCGCCGTGCAGGCGAAGAAAAAGAAGAGGCCATTTCGCACGTATTTGATATGGATTGCCATTGTTTTGGTTGTGATTGGTATTATGATAGGCGTAACTCTAACTCTAATCTACCATTCTTTTACCCCTAAAGCTCCCGTTTTCTCTGTTTCAAAGCTCCATGTCAAGCAGCATAAAGATGGTAGTCCCCCTACATATGATGTAACACTGAAAGTCAAGAACCCCAATGAAAAGATGGGAATCAAATACGGGTCAGTTGCTGATGATGCGGAGCTAACTTTCTGGACGAAAAAGCTTGGTTTTGGACAATTTCCAAGCATGTATCAAAACAGCGGTGATTCGAACGTTGTTCATGTTAAACTAGATGGACCCGAAGATCAATCAGTTCCACCTAATGTCCAGAGGAGTATGAATGACAAAAAACCAAAACATGAAATCTCTTTAGTGCTAAAGTTCAATTCTCCATTGTTGCTGAACGTTTGGATATTCAAGATGTGGAGCAGAGACATGGATGTCAAGTGTAAGTTTAGGGTGAGCACCATGGGTAAAGGAACTAAGATTCTGAACGAACATTGTATGACCAACTTGTCCAATTGATATCAAAGGTAAATTATTTTGTAATCGACAATGTGAAGCATTTCTTTGTTTTAATTCTTATATTATTAGATCATTACTTTCATAATTATTTCATATGTCAAAGAAACAGGTGGTCAATATGTTAACTGACTATTATTTTATCCACCATTAGTAGAGTTTTTTTCTTTATTTTACAAGTCAGATTAAATTATTATCATTTGTTTTTCTTTTTATTTTTTAATACATTTAATTTTGTTGTTGGAGTCTAAAACTTTCATTGATAATGCATGAGATCATTTTTTTATAGAAATTATTCCTTAATATTATAGTGAAGAGATTCACTTTTTTTCTTTATTTTCTTCCTAATTTTACTCTCTAACGTTGTTAACTTTTGTGTTTAGGTACGGTCAACAACCTCTTGAGATCTCTCCATGCAATTTTATTTGAAAGAAAGTGTGACAACAAATCCGCCTATGCCTCATTAATATTTGTTAATTCTTTCCTTCTTTTTTTTTTTTTTAATCTTTGAAGCCTGTACTAACATTTTCTTCCATGTAATTAGTAGATAGACATTGGTTATGGATGGAATTGAGGTGTTTTATCAAGCTAGCTTTGGCTTTTTTGATCTGTTTATGTTTGTCTTGCCAAGCCTTAATAAGGATATAAAAGATATATATACATATAGTATATATTTCTACCAAATTTACCGGAAAATAATATATTAAATATTAAAAATAGAGTTTTAACCATCAACAAAGAAAATTTTTTCAAAAAAAAAAAAAGTGGAAGCATGGAAGGAAGTTGAAAAAGCTCCTTAAAGGAGAATACAGATCATCGAAAGATTCCAAAATCATCAAAAGCTTTTTGTCCATCTTTTCTTTTTAAGATGTCTCAAAATTATTATTTTTTAACATCTAAAACTTTTACTTTTTATTTTTTAAATATTTTTTATGAATTTTTTTTTTATTTTTTGACATAAAAAATTATGAAATTTTAATTTTATAAAAAATAATTAACATTTAATATTAAATACATTAAAATCCAAACTTTTTTCTTAAATTACATGAAAGTGAATACCACCCAAACAATTTAAGATAAAAGGGAGTAATTGTTTTTAATTTAGAAAAAGAAGAATTTGAGCGTAACTCTTTGAACAAAGACATATAGAACAAAATGCTTTGATATTACATTAAGGCTTTACTTGATAGAGAGGATGGATATGGGTAAAGATAAAAAAAATTTGTTAATTAATGATTAAGCTATAATATAAAAAAAGTGATTATGAATTTTAACCATTAGATTAAAATTTTTTTTATCATTTCCCCTTTTCGTCATTCTTATTAAATAAAGCCTCAAATATGAATGATTCTATTCCTATGCCACTAAACTTAAAGATCTAGGAGTAGAGTTCAAAGAACTCAATTTGAATCAAAATGCATCTTGGATATATATTTTTTTATATGGAGGAGGCCATAGAGAAAATGATTGCGAATATTAAAATTTGAATCTTAAAAGTGATTATATGAATAAATTAAATTAAGTTTCAAGTTCATTCATCTTATATGTTTAAAAACTTTAAGAATGACAGTCTTTTCTTTTCTTTTTTTTTTTTAATTTGGAAGGTAAGAAAACTGACTTATTAATAATGATTAGAAAAGAGTTCAAAAACAGCAGATACAAGTAGAAATGATACAATTGGTTTTAAAAAGGTAGAAATGAGACAAATGGAGAAACAAAACCCGGCAAGCATAGACTAATTACAGTCAAGCTACCGAACTAGAGGTGCAAGAAATCCCAGCTTTAGACAAACCCACCTGAATCAATCTCATGGAGGCTGCATTTAAAGGTGACACCCTTAATTCTGCATTTGAGATTTTTAATGTTTCTTGAAGAACAAAATTTTGCACAAGACTAAATTCAAACAATGTTTTGAAGGACTAGGCCCCAAGCGGAAAATCATTTATTTGGGGCCCCGTTTTCAGACTACATTGAAAGATCAAAAGAAAACCCATGTCGCAATATTACGGGCCAAAATCATATAAAGGAATGCGGCTACTCGTTGCTACTCCAATTTCACTAGATAAATATTCGAGCTTGGATAATAAACCATTATGCTTTGACTGAAAATGGGTTGTAAAATAAACTCCCTGGAACCAACAGACTTATGCCAGGTCCCAGCAAGAAAATCATGTATCAGAACTGAAACTATTGCCTTGCCTTCCCTTCTTATAAAACAAATAAAGGCGAAGCTGTTTCCACTATTTATGCAAATCCATTGAAACCCAACTGCCAAAGACCGTAGAAGTCAGATTGTAAAATATTTCAAGACATGTGGGACATTTGAAAACAAGATTTTTGCAAAGTAAGAGCTTGAAATTCCTTTGGAGTAAAAGAATTGGAATTTAGGCAAAAGGGTTTTTAGCAAAACTGGGCTTCTTTCAATGAGTTTTATGGTTTGGGTTTGTCAAAAGCCATGGCTCTTGAAGAAGCCAATTCAGGGTTTGGTTCAAGACTTTGGGGGTTTACAAGCTTGGGATTTCAAGATATCCCGAATTTGAGTATAACGATGAAAAAGGAACTGGTAAAAAGATATCAAATGGCAAAGAAGAGAAAGAAAAATAAAACGGTTAGGTGGGGGAAGAAAGCTGTCGGCCACCAGATCTGAGGCTGGATGGCCTGATCGATCGCTCACCAGCCTTGATCGATTGGCCGACGAACCACTCTGGCGTCAACAGACGCAAGGAGCGGAGAAGATGAAATTGATCACGAGAGAAAAATGAAGAAAAAAAAAGGCTCTGTCCTTGATGGTCCACGTGGCAGTTACCTATCACGGGACAGTTTTTCTTACGTAGCACCTCTAATGATGTTGTCAATTACCTTTAAGTATAAATGCAATCCAACAAATTAGAAATGTCACAAAATATTTTGTTTTTTGATCACATTAATTTTTTCTGTTAAAACATAATAAAATTTATTTGAAATAAAAATTGAGGGACCAAAATATTCTAAATAAATAAAAGATTTAGAATCAAAATGATTCTTTTTCTATGGTTCAAGGGCTAAAAGTGCCCTTATAACATAAAATTTTGATTTTTGCCTCTTAATTTGTATTTGCATTATTTGGCTACTTAATTACCATGATTTTTTTACTTTATTCAAAATTACTGCAACATGGCTAATTCTTTAAAACATAGAAAGAAGGCTTCAACCTTCGACCACATGAATAAAACAAGAAAATATAAAGAATGGTTTCTTCTCCATTACTTTTTTATTCGTTACTTTTTAATATCTCTATCATTAATATTCACATATATAGAATTGACTCATAGACTATGAAAATCAAATATGTGAATAGTAATTAAAAATGTAGTGAAATATAAGGAACATAAAAATAAAATAAAAAAACCAACCTCGAAAATATAAGGAAGTTTAAGCTAGCATTTCTCTGCTCCAATCTCATGTCATTTTCCCAAGAAAAGATCTGCAACTAAAGCAGAACAATTATTGTATAGTAATTTTCATTGAACAAAAACTCAGTGGAGATCTCTACTGTTTTATTAAATGTTAATATAAGGTCAACAATAATCCACATCATCATTCTTAATTAATAGCACCAAAACTTATAGTTTTATTGAACTTAAAGACGTTAACCATTTCAAGTGGCACAATAAGCATCAGGATTTCTCTGATCCGAAGAAGAAGAGAATCATCATCCAAATCAGCAAAAGGGTCCTTTATCTTAATATATTGTTTTTTGCAGAGTCTTTTGCTATGACCATAGTTTGTGTTTTATAGTATCTCTTTGTGCCCTGCTTTCCATCTTTATCCTTTTATATTTGATATAGCTAGATTGACATTGCTTTGAGTTGAAGAAGCAAAGTGAAGAATAAAAATTTTGATGCCCTGTATTGAGACCTACAAAAGCACAAAAGAAAGAATAACCAGGTATACCTATGAGCATTGGATATTGAGACATTTCAGCGGACATTATGAAGTTAAAATCTTTTATACAAGGAAACGCAACATTTTGTCGGGGATTGCCTTAAATCTCTTAATCTCACATCAAAAGTTAAGTAAAATTATAAAAGTTGAGAGTTTATTTTCTATCCTACATCGAGAATTTAGTAAAAGTATGAGGGGTTTCACCTTTTATAAATAAAATGTTTTAGTTTTAATTTAGTAATTCCCAATAGTTAGACATTAATAGAATAACTAAGTGAATAGATTATTAAAATGATGTAATTGAGTTTTTGGTTAAGTTTTGACTTTTTTCACTCAAAAGTTTTATAATTGTAAAGATTTATTTATTAATGGATTTGGTTTAAAGTAAGCCATTTTGGTTTAAGCCGAAACAAATATATTTGTATATTTTTATTCTTATTTTGAGCTTTCTTTTTTCTGTGTGGATGTTGCACTTGCATGTTGATTTTCAAACAAGTGATCTCAAAGTGAGATTTGAGATCTAAAAATATAGTGTGTGCAAGTATTTCAAAATATTTGAAAAATGTATGTCTAATATGCCTATACCAAAATTTGATATTCCTTTATTTGATGAAAAAAAATAATTTTATGTTATGGCAAATTATAATTCAAGATCTGTTAATACAACAAGGGTTATATAAGACATTAAAGAAAAATAAGCTTAAGGGAATATCTGACAATAATTGAAATAGAATTCAAAGGAATGTTATTTGAATTATTAGATTGCTATTAGTTTCAGAAGTAAAGTACAATGTGTTGACTAAAAGTACTCTAAAGAATTTATGAGATAAGCTCGAGGGTATTTACATTTTGAAGTCATTGACTAACAAATTATGTTTAAAGATGGATTGGTGTCTTTAAAAATGAAAAAAAGGTATGAATTTTCATAATCACTTGAATGAGTTTAATATGTTAGTTTCTTAATTGCTGACTACTTTTATTGATGAGTTAGAAAATAAAGAGAATATTTTAATTTTGTTGTCATTTTTGCCTAAGTCTTATAAACTTCTAGTTTAGATTTTACTGGTGAGTAGTTCTAC